CAATAATAATAATAATAATAATAATAATAATAATAATAATAATAATAATGGTCTCTGCATCATAACTTTATAGCACAAATGACATTTACAGTGCACACTGTTGTGATGATGCACATACTGAGATTCGTTTCTCCTCTCCTCCATAATTGCTCATATATATTCTAATATGACCTTACAGGTATTCGTCATTTAGCAATTGCCTCTGTCATTTGCATCTCTATAACCGTCTAGTTTGGCACTGCAATCAAACAAGATGAGTACAGATTTCAACGGATAGTTAGAACTGCAGAAAAAACAATTGCTACCAGCCTGCTTTCTATTGAGGACCTATATACTGCACAAGCCAAAAAGAGGGCTGTGAAAATATCTACAGACCCCTAAATCCTGGACATAAACTGTTTCAACTTCTTCCCTCAAGGCGACACTATAGGCATTGCATGCCAGAACAACTAGACATAAGGACAGTTTTTTCCCCATGCCATCACTCTGCTTAACAACTAATTCCTACAAAACTGTCAAACTATTTAGTAAGGCTTTATTATTATTATTGTTCACCTCATCTTTCCTATTATCTATCTCCTTATCTTCTTATGACTATAACTTGGTTGCTTGTATCTTATGATTTATATTGTTTTATTTAGTATCCTAGTATGATTTATGTTGTTTGCTGATTTAATGTCCTATGACTATCATTAAGTGTTGTATCTTATGATTATGATGAATGTATTTTTATGTTGATTCTGATCATGATTTATCACCTGTTGCTTGTATGTACACTGAGAGCTTATCACTGGAGACAAATTCCTTGTGTGTCTAACCACACTTGGCCAATAAAGAATTCTGTTTAGTGATCATTTGCAGTTATAACAGTGATGAAAAAATAACTTTATGACGAGTCCTTGCATTTACAGCCTTTGTAGGACTCTAAAGGAAAAGAAAGCTAAAGTAAGATATAACATCTATCTATCTATCTATCTATCTATCTATCTATCTATCTATCTATCTATCTATCTATCTATCTATCTATCTATCTATCTATCTATCTATCTACCTATCTACCTACCTACCTACCTACCTACCTACCTTTTCTATCTACCTACCTACCTACCTAGTCACCCAACTTACCACAAGGTAACTCTGGGCGGCTTGCAATGTTAAATTATAGTTTCACTTAACAATTGCTTCATTTAACGACTGAGTTATTGGTCCCAATTGTGGTTACTAACTAAATGAGGACTACCTGCAGTATTTGTGTGTATTTTTATTCATATTAATATCTAAAATGATGTGCAATATTTTAGCATAATTAGCAATTTTACAAACTAGATGTATATATTGTAACATTGTTAAAGAACTTGCTGCCCCTTCCCTGTGTTACTATCTAAAGCATCCAGTGGTTTTTTTCCCCCCTACAGATTCAGAGTTCCAATTCAGAGGCAGGTCTCAAAGATTATTTTGTAGTTCCTTTTTTAGCTTGTATTTATATTATTTTAACATTTCTTTGATACAAGCCTGAGGTTTATACTGGGATATTGCCTTTTATGAATCTTAGGAGCTGGAGAAGCAAACAGACCAAATGAACTTTAGTTACATATTCCAGACAAGCACAAGGGTTCTATTTAATTTGCTTAAGCTTACTGAATGCAGATTGATTAGCTCTGTGGGTTATAAATTTTCACTGCCACAAAGCCTCAGTGGCAAATCTTGCTTCAGCTTAGGGAAAAGAAAATTCTGCCCACAAATTCATGCTTGTGAAATATGAATATGTCTTTTCAAACATTAGATCTTCTGATCATTGCTTATAAAATTAAAGTAATATTAACTGGATAAATGATATTAAGGGAAAATACAGTTATGTAATCAAAGGAACTGCAAACTTGTATGGTTATATAATTACTACACTCTGATAGTCCAATTTTGTTTTCCTCTATTATGATTAAAGATAGTCCTTGACTTACAAGCACAATTGAGCCAAAATTTATGTTACTAAGCGAGACAGTTGTTAATTGAGTTTGCCCCATTTTATGACCTTTTTTGCCACAGTTGTTTTTTGCCACAGTTGTTAAGTGAATCACTACAGATGTTAAATTAGTAACATGGTTGTTAAGTGAATCTGGCTTCCCTATTGACCTTGTTTGTCAGAAAATTGTAAAAAGGTGACCACATGGCCACAGGACACAACAACCTTCATAAATATGAATCAGTTGCCAAGCATCTACAGTTTGATCACATGACCCTAGGGATGCTGCTACAGTAATGAGAAAAACAGTCCTAAATCACTTTTTTCAGTGCAATTGTAACTTTGAGTGATCACTAAATGAATGGTTGTAAGTTGAGGACTACCTATAATTCCTTATAGCTGAGTTCATATATAGCATTAAATTATAATGTGGTTTGTCTGAATGTGACTTAGTATGTTGTGTGAATTTAGTCACTGTAGTTAATAATGTATACAATATAATTATGCATTAAGCTGTATGTTTAAGATAGGAACATTGTCTTCAGCTTTTTGACAAAAGTCAGCATATAAATTTAATGAATTAACAGGTTAAAAAAATGAACAGATTTCAAATTTCTTACCTGGTCATTCTCCTCTTCATCACTGCTTAATTTTAGGTCATCTTCTAGCATTCTAGAAAACAACAAATCTACATTGGAATCCAATATAGCACTTTAGATGTCATTTAAACCATAGATATTCTTTCATTGTGAGTTCTAACTAAGCTTCAGTTGGTTCAGGGCAAAACTTCAGCTGGTCCAGGACTCTATTTCCCATTAAGGCTGTGCATGTTTTATTTGGAAGAAGTGCTTTCATGAGATGGTTTTTCAGGAGGCGAATGGACTTTCTTGTTTTTCTTTGAAGATGTTTCGCTTCCCATCCAAGAAGCTTCTTCAGCTCTGACTGGATGGTAGGGAATAGAAGCATTTATATTCCTTGCAGACAGCTGGTCCTTTTAGTGAGTCGTTAAGGACATTTGGAGGTTTACCTGTGTTCTCAGGGTCACCTGAGTAGTGCAAATGTGTGTGGAGCCTTCTTGGCAGCAGGATGTCTTCTGCCCTGTGTCTCTTCACTGTTGAAGCAAGGCGTGGGCTGTTGGGGATTAGTCTGTGTTGTCTGCATCTCAAACTGAAGTGCAAATGGTTCCTGTAGTCTGCAATGTTTTCAAGAAATCCGTTCATACTCCCACACCATTCAAAGGGTGTTCATCCCAAAGTGCATAGCTAAATGTCTATGGACATTTGCTTTCATGAGAGCACAGCACCTGCCCTTTACTCATTAAAGTAGCATGACTGCAAATTTGAATAAAGATGTTATTGTTTTAAGCAATTTACCTATTAAAACAAAGGCAACATAAGCAGCATTACTTTTTATTTCTCATAGCAGCACATGGAAGCCTGTCAATGTTGGGTTAACTTGGAAAATAATGCAGACCATGAAGGTCATTTTTTCTATGCCTGATTTTAGCAGTTACTATTCAATGGCATTTTCTAAATCTGAAATTTCCATATAGGCTTCATTACTCAAAATGGTTCTGAGTGGTGATATTATTTGGCCAAAAAAACAGTATTATAATGCAATCCTGCCAATACAGGTAGCTTACATTGTTTGCAAGCAATTAAGTGATAATATCAATGTCATCAGTGGAATCTGAATTATTAATAGTAGTACATGACATTGTGAATTCTGCCTCTTAAAGAATACTAATTTCATTTAGACTAGCATGAACTGGATCTGAAATGCTTGTTTGAAAAGTTCTTAATATGAACATAATAATTTACTTTTTTAGCTAATATACTTATGTGTCTTACATCATTTCATGCATGCTTCAAAATTTATTCTACAAAAAAGAAATGGGTTTATTCTATTTATAGAATGGGATGCAGTCTCTTGTGAATATATATTACACTGGATCTACAGAAAAAAGCTAAAGCTAATTAAAAAAGATTAAAACATCTCTACATTGGATCACAAAGTTCATGATATTTAATCTTTTTTGCATGTTATTTCAATTTTCATTTAAATCAGCTACCATCAATATATATTGATAAGGAAATTTCCAGAGTTTTAATGTTGAAGGAATCATCTAATGGAAGCTCCATCAAAAGAAAAACCCATACACATTAAGATTGATCTTTGAGACTATTAAAACCAAATTGCATTTTTATCATATTAAGAGAAGATATCTAAACTGTAAAACATAAATTCTTCATGAATAATGGGTAGACACATGTTTCAGTCTGTGTTAATGAAGTGAAATTTATTGCTATTTTTCGTTCCCCATCATGTAACAGATGGTCAACTTTGCTTAATGAATATATATATTCAAAGCATGCATTTCATTTATAAAAATATGTCAACACTATATCAACAGAATTGTTATTTTAAACAGTTCCCTATGATATCTCTATCACCAAATTAGTTGTATAGACTAGAAAGCTAATGTTCTGAAATCACATTGCTTATTTTTATAAATTTTAAAAAACTTAAATTGTCAAAATTAAATAGGAAATCAAAAGAGTAAGAAATGTTCACTAAATAGATATTGTTTCAGCAAAATAATATTAGGAAAAAGAACCTGCAACATTTTTTTTACTATGCAGTCAAAACATTCCATTTCTACATACACATGAATTATTCTAGTCTGCTTTGTGAGATGATTTACAATTATATGCCATCAAGTCACTTAGGGACCACACAGATTTTTTCTCCATGGCAATCTTTCCCTATGAATGAAGGTGAATATTCTTGTCCCAGGATAATGTTGCAATATGGGTCGGTCACGGGACCAGAGGTTTTGTCTTCCGAGCTTTTGGACGTGCTGGAGCCCCCATCCTCAGGGAATTCGTCACCAGCTTCTAGGCTAGAGGGAAGTTCCCTGAGGAAAGGGTCCTAGCATGAATCTGAAAGCTCAGAAGACAAAACCTCTGGTCCTGGTGACCGACAAAGATAGGATCCTGCTATCTTTCCTTAACCTAATTCTTCAGATCTTTCAATAGTCCACCCATTGACACTACAACTGAATCCATCCATCTTGCTGCTGATTGTCCTCTTCTGATTACCTTCTGTCTTTCTCAACATTAGAGACTTTTCCAGAGAGCAAGGCAGTGGTAGGATTCAAATAATTTAACAACCTTTTGTCTGTCTCACTTTCCCTCTGCCTTGGTCGGGGTGGGCTTCTTGGGGGTTAGCTGGGGTGGGGGCAGGAGGTCCCAGCGGGGGACAGGAGGGTACGGTTGGGGGGCTGCAGGAGTCTCAGACAGGGGTGGGTGCAGGAGGGTGGGGGGACAAGCAAGTTCCAGATGGGGGAAGGTGAGGGGTCTGGCTAGGGGGGCAGGAGGGCCGGGATGCCTCTGTGGAGGAAAGCAACCCTTCCCCACCGGCTGAGCCTCTCATCCACATCATGGTCACATAGGATTGTACAGAAGGGGTGCCGGGTAGGGAACTGGGGGGGGGCGGCTGGTAGGTGAGATCAGAGCCGCCATCGTCCCCCTTCCGCAGTGTAGCCCCATTGGCACAGGTGGAGATGGCCCAAGGATGGCCAGAAGGGAACCCTCAACTTGCCTGGGCCCCGTCCCGAGCCCCTTGACTGGCCAGCCATGCAGGGAAGCAGGAGGGAGGGCGGCTGGGGGTCTGGAGCTGCTTCAGCTACCCGCTAGATGCAGATGGCCCCACCTCACCAGCCTGATGAGGCAGCGGATCTCGTGCAATGGCTGAGGCCTTGTGGGGCAGCAGTGCCTGGACAACACAAGGGCTGGGCAGGAGGTGGTGGTGGTGATCCCTGCATTGCCAGGCCCAGTGGGCAGCAGCTCCGTAAATGCGCGCCCACCCCTCACCGCTGCCACTCCACATCCCGCATATGCCCCCGGCCCCTCACCGCCATCTCCCTTCTGCAGCACAGCATCCACCGTCCCCCGCCACTACCCCATTAGTGCGAGGATGGGCGGCACAGCTTCATTTCCGGAGCTGCTGCCAGCCAGGCCTGGCGATGCAGGGATCGCCACTGCCGCCTACTCCTCCTGCTCAGCCCCATGTATTGCCCAGGCACCACTGCCCCACGAGGCTAGTCAGCCGGTGCGTGAGATCTGCTGCCTCGTTGGGTGGGTGAAGCGGGGCTGGCTACAGCCAGCGGGCAGCCAAGGCGGCTCCAGACCCCCAGCCGTCCCTCCGCCTCCTCCTGCTTCCCTGCATGGCTGGCCAGTTGAGAGGCTCAGAGCAGCAGGAGCAGCAGCAGCAGCCGCCACCCCCAGACGGGGCTTGGGCTGGGTGAGGGCTCCCTTCTGGCCATCCTGGGGCTGTCTCCGCCTGCGCCAATGGGGCTTTGTAGCCGGTTCGCCATGATGCAGGACCACACCTCTTATGTTTTTGATTACAAGTGGTACCTTCCTCAACCACACAGTCTCCCTGAAAGCTATTAGTTCTAACACCGGGCACAGACAGTTGGAGAAAAAATAATAAGTTGCCATTTGATACCTGCCTTCTTTCTATGGAACCAAAGTTAGCGGGCAGGTGGCTGAAGAGGGACCTCTCTGCTTTATTATGGGGCAAGCTATTAACAGGTAGCCAGCTCCATTTCGTAAAAAAAACCTATTTATTTGTAATGAAATGGAGCAGGCTGCCTATTAATAACCTGCTGCGTAATAAAGCAGGCAAAACCACAACCGTCCCCCTCTTTAACCCACGGTCATGTGAAGTAACCAAAACCTGCTGCAACCACCCAGATGGGAGCGAATAAAAACCAACCCCCTCTCACCAATCCTCAACAGAAATGCTCACAACAATGAAAACCTCGGACAGGAGGAAGACCGCAGGCGGGCGGGCAGGCGTCTTGCTCACCTGTGGCTTGGGGGGAGAAGAAAGGGGACAGCTTCACCCCCCCAAATGCTGCCCTCTCACAAAAGCAGGATGAAAATTCCAAAAAATGACAAGGGAAAAAGGTTAAAACAGAAGAGTGTCTCCTGATGGCTTGCTTCCCCATTTCCTTCTAGCAGTTTAAATATGTAAAGACTACAAAAGAAAAAACTTGGCTTTCTTTCATTGTAATTCAGAAGGGAGGAACGGGAAGATTGGGGGGGTTGTTTGTTTCAAAGGAAGGGAAAGAAGGGATTTGGGTCTGTGGGGGGCACAGCAGGCGAACGGTGATGGCGCTTCTGGTGTTGGGGGGGCTTCTAGTGTTGGGGGGCAGTCTTTTTAAAAGAGCAAAACGAGGCAAAAAATAAAAATGCCCCACTCCAGCCCCAAGAGCTGGATGCGGATGTGATCTTTTTTTTTCTTGTTCAGAAGAGACACTCTTCTGTTTTAACCTTTTTTCCTAGTTGATTTTCGGAGGTTTCATCCTGCTTTCATGAGAGGGCAGTGTTTGGGGGGGTGAAGCTGCCCCCTTTCCCCCCCCAAGCCACCAGCTGAGCAAGACGCCCGCCCACCTGCATTCTTCCTCCTGTCCGAGGTTTTCATTGTTGTAAGCATTTCTGTTGATAATTGGCAGGGGGGCTGTTTGGTTTTTATTTCCCCTCCCCCCATCTGCTGGGTGGTTGCAGCAGATTCTGGTCACTTCACGTGACCCTGGGACACTGTGACCGTCATAAATATGAATCAGTTGCCAAGCATCTGAATGTAAATCATAAGACAGGGCT